CTTCCAATTTTTCGTTCCTTCAATTTTTCAAATTATTGATTTCCAATTTTCATATTTTGCAAAGTTTTCCTTTTCTACTTTTCCGTTTCTCATTTTTGATTTTTCAGTTTTACAATTTTGCAATTTTTCCATTTGTTTCATTCGTAAAATTGAAAAATACAAAAAATAAAAATCGAAAAACTAAAAAGAAAAATTGAAAAATCGAAAATGTGAAAAAAAAATTAAATTTCAATAACTGGAAGTCGCGATAATTCGAAGTTTGACTGTATTTCGAATTTTTAAATTTTAGATTTTTCACTTTTTTAATGTTTGGCTTTCTCAATCTTTCGTTTTTTGTATTCCTAGGTTTTTCAATTTATCGATTTTTAAATTGTTCACTTCGATTTCTGGATTTTCAGTTTTCCGATTTCTTACTTTTTCGATGTTTCACTTGTGAATTTTCAAATTTTTTCGACTTTTCGATTTATCGATTTTTTCCACTTTTTCGATTTTTATGTTTTAGGTTTATTTATAAATTTTACATTTTTCATTTTTTTGATGTAATGTAATGTTTATAAACGGTTATATCTTTACACTTGACAACTCCAAAAATCAAAAAATTGAAAATTCAGGAAATCCTTAAGTAAAAAAGTCTAAAAACTGAGCACTGGAAAAGTTGAAAAATCGAAAATTAAAAAATCGAAAAATAGAAAAATCGGAAACCAAAAAGACTGAAAATTGGAATGTCGAAAAAGAGAAAATCAAAAAAATCGAAAATCGAGAAAATGAAAATTGAAAAACCGAACACAGAAAAATTTAAAAAACCGAAAAATTGGAATGTTAAAAATTCGAAAAGTAAAAAATCTACAATTCAAATAATAATTGAAAATGGAAAAACCGAAAAAAAATCGAAAAATTGAAATTCGAAAAATTGAGAAAATTGAATCTTCTGCAAAGTCAAAAAAACGAAAAGTAAAATCATTGAAAATTCGAATATTGAAAATGTAAAAATCGAGAAATCGAAAATCGAAAAATCGAAAATTCTGATAAGCAAAATATTGAAACAGCTTCCGAAATCCGAAAAAGAAGAAGATTGAACTTTCAAAGATCGAAAGATATTTTGCTTTCTTGATCTTTCGATTTTTCAGTTTTTAAATTTTTTGATTTTCCAATTTTTCAATTTCTCGGTTTCTTGAAATTTCGATTTTTTTATTGCTCAATTTTTCGATTTCTTGCTATTTCAATTTTTCGAATTTGTACATTTTAGATTTTTCAGTTTTTTGATGCTTCGCTTTCTCGATCTTTCGATTTTTCTACTTCTCAATTTTAGATTTTTCAATTTTTCGATTTTTAAAATTTCTAACCTTCGATTTTTCAATTTTTCGCTTGAATTTCTCGATTTTTCAACTTTTCGATTTCTCGACTTTTTACTTTTTCCACTCCTTCGATTTTTATGTTTTATATTTTTCAATTTTTCTAGTTTGTGATGTTTCTATTTGTTGGTTTTTAAATTTTTCGTTTTTTAAATTTTTTGACGTTTAAAAAATGTTCAATTTTTCAATTTTCCAACTTCTCGAGTAATCGAGTTTTTCATTTTCCCATTTCTCGACTTCTCGACTTCAATGTTTGGAGTTTTTAATTCTCCATTTTTTCGATTTTTCAGGTTTTTGATTTTTCAATTTTTCAATTTTTTAGTTTTTCTACTTTTGAATTTTCGATTTTTTTGTTTTACATCGTATTTTTGATGTCTCGATTTCTTGGTTTTTCAATTTTTAATATTGTAGAATATTCGATTTCTCGATTTTTTCACTTTCCGTTTTTCGACATTTCAATTTTTCGAATTTTTAAATTCAATTTTTTGATGCTCGCTTTCTTGATTTTTTGATTTTTCTACTTCTCGGTTTTGGATGTTTCGGTTTTTCAATTTTTCGATTTTTTAAATTTTCAATGTTTCGATTTTTCAGTTTTTAAATATTTTGATTTTCCAATTTTTCGATTTTTCAATCTCCCCATTTATGGAGATTTCGATTTTTTGACGTTTAAAAATTTTCAATTTTTCGATTTTCCAAGTTCTGGATTTCTCGACTTTCGTGTTTCGATTTTTCAATTCTTCAATTTTTGAGGTTTTTGATTTTTCAGTTTTTCGATTTTTACTTTTTCTACTTTTGAATTTTTTGATTTTTGTTTTAGATTTTACAATTTTTCTAGTTTTTGATTTTTCGATTTCTCGGTTTTTCAATTTTTCGATATTTTAATTTTTTAACTTTTATTAATGTTTTAGAATATTCGATTTCTCGACTTTCTGATTTGCCAATTTTTAGACATTTCAATTTTTCCAATTTTTAAATTTTAGATTTTTCAATTTAAATAATTAAATAAAAAAATTGAAAATCCTTAAGTAAAAAAGTCTAAAAACTGAGCAATTGAAAAGTTGAAAAATAGAAAATTAAAAAATCTAAAAATAGAAAAATCGGAAATCAAAAAGACTGAAAATTAGAATATCGAAAAAGAGAAAATCAAAAAAGTCGAAAATCGAGAAAATGAAAATAGAAAAACCGAACACAGAAAAATCAAAAAATCTAAAAATTGGAATGTTAAAAATTCGAAAAGTAAAATGACTGAAAATTCGAACATTGAAAACGGAAAAATCGAGAAAACGAAAATCAAAAAATCTACAATTCGAATAATCATTGAAAATGGAAAAACCGAAAACAAAAAATCGAAAAATTGAAATTCGAAAAATTGAGAAAATTGAATCTTCTGCAAAGACAAAAAAACGAAAAGTAAAGTAATTGAAAATCTGAATATTGAAAACGTAATAATCGAGAAATCGAAAATCGGAAAATCTAAAATTCTGATAACCAAATTTTTTTAAAAAGCTTCCGAAATCCGAAAAAGAAGATTGAACTTTCAAATATCGAAAGATTTTGATTTCTTGATCTTTCAATTTTTCTAGTTTTTGATGTTTCTATTTGTCGGTTTTTAAATTTTTCGATTTTTAAATTTTTTGACGTTTAAAAATGTTCAATTTTTCGATTTTCCAATTTCTCGATTAACCAAGTTTTTCATTTTCCCATTTCTCGATTTCTCGTTCAATGTTTGGAGTTTTTAATTCTTCGTTTTTTCGATTTTTCAGGTTTTTGATTTTTCAATTTTTCGATATTTTAGTTTTTCTACTTTTGAATTTTCCAATTTTTCGATTTTTCAATCTCCCCATTTATGGAAATTTCGATTTTTTGATTGTTCAATTTTTCGATTCATCGATTTTTCTATGGTTCTAAAATGTGTTTAAGTTTAGCTTCACTCGGAATTCAAAAATATATTTCTTTTATATCATTTTACTACTTTTCGAAAATTTTCATACATTTTCACATTATTGTTAAAATGCAACTAAAAGTTTTCAATTGTAGTTAATTGTTTTTATTTGTTCAAAATTTCGTTAAATTTTAATTAAATAACATTGTTACAATTTTCCAACTAATTTTGTAGTCTCGAAATTTAGTTTATTTCTAATTTTTTTAAATTCAAATTTGTTTTTACTTTATTTTTATTGGAATAGGGTGCATCGGACGACTGACTACTGTCATATTTGCTCGACGTTTCATGACCCCTAGAGTACGAAAAAACTGGTCTCCCGTTTCAGTCTGTCTATCGTCTGTAACAATTGTGGAATTCGTGGACCAATTTTTTGTACATATTTACATTTAGAAACCCGAAGTCGTTCATGGGTCAGTTGCGCGCCACGGTCAGAAAAATTTGCAATAATTTTCAGGACTAATACAACAAACAGTTGTTGCTTGAAATAGTAGTTTACGTGGGTGTTAGCCACATTAATAAGTACATACTCCGAGAAATATTTTTTTTTCACAATTACATACGTACATATAATCACCAAGTAAGTATATATATAGAGCTTGAAAATATTTTATAATCACCTTATTCGGAACTACTGGACTGATTGTTGTAAATTTGTTTAAGCCGAAATTTTCATTCTTCGTTCGAAAAGAATAAGCAGGGTCAAAATTCAAGACCATTTTTGCTTTGTCATGAAGGTGAATCATCGTCGAAACGTGCTAACCCAACAAGTACTCGTTAAGTCAATTTCAACTAATTCTATTCTATGGAGAATTTTATTAAAAATATTTTAAAAAGTCCGCCATTTTTGTTTTTATATTTGTCATTTTTGGACATTAGTGTGGTTTAATCACCGACACGCTAAATCCTTTCCAAGGGTAACTAGATTACAAACTTTAATGTTCGCCCGATATAGATGGCGTCAAACTTGGTAATTAGTTGGTAATCTTCCTCGTCTACACGAATTTAATGGTCCTCTGACTAACAAATGATTGAATAATCAAGACAACTCAAATGACATTTAATTGACATTTATTTTAATGTTTTAATTTAAGTGATATAGTTTACAGATAGCTTGATCCGGGATAATGGGACTTTATATTTATATCGGATGATGAAAAATAATTGTAAACGAGTCATGCTTCTAACTGTAGACGTATGTCCTTACTTAAGTGTATTTCGTGGACATTTAAAAATTTTTTGACAGATTCCAATTATAAACAAAAATACCCGACACCTGTCATTCAGCATCCACAACTTCCCCCACCCCTTGTCACCCTTAAACGTCACCTGTCACCTGTCATTCATCTCGTCCGACACGCCTGTCACCCGGCCGCTCTGTCACCGTCTCCACGGCAACCGTCCGTTGTCTTGACGACGAACAACTCTCCATTGTTTAAACAACAAAACGAGCATAATTTCGCAACAATCGACCTCCCAACGTGTTATTAATTATCAATTACGGCCCTCGGGTTGTAAAAGCGCTCTTTATCTCCACATCCGTCGCTTTATTGCGGGCTCAAGACTCCGCTGGGGCTTTTTACGGTTATTGCGGCAACTTTTATAAAACAAACAACGGCCCGATTCACGTCCACGTTCTTATCACAACACGATAACGATGACGACAGCCGGGAGCCGTGAATAAGAACCTCAATTACGGCACTCACCTGCTATTACTGTATCACGCAAGTTGTACTTTTCGCTGGTTTTCGGGAAATCTTTGAGTTTTCGGTTGCTCAGTTTCAGTTCACCACTTTGGTTCGCATCGTCGAGGATTTTCTCGAGCGAGCGAGTTAACTGGTTCTGGATGTGTCCGTTTATGTTTTGAACTAGCATTGCCATGATGCATGGCAAAAGCGGCGCCACAGAAACACTTTTCCGAAGTTTTCCCGAACTTTTCACTGAGTTTCCTCTCACGACATCATGAGAGCAAGGGCGAGGTGTTTGTGTCGTTTGCGTGAGGGAGAGGGCGCTGCGGCGCAACTGTCAGGATCAATGAAGTGAAAAGGAGCGGATGGCCTGGACGGTGGAAGGAGACGGTTGGATGGAGGGGCGTGGGGAGAGATCGAGCTGTCTGGTTAGCCGCGAAATTTAAACTTTAAGATATAATTGATGATAATTACTGGTGTACTAAATCAAACGAACAATGTATGAACTCAATTAAGCACAAACGTTACGGTCTGCTATTCTTGTCTGAAAACTAAAGGAAACTTTACACTTTTAAGTGCTTATAAATCACAGTTTGCATGATACGATGTAGTTATTAATTAGAAAATCATGTTCAGAGATTATTTATTGAGCCAAAATTTAAGTGTTTCTAGGAATCTTCGTTGAACTAAAAAAGAAGTACAGTTATATGTATAACTAACTTTAAAAGTATGGTTTTTACGAAAATTTTGCATCTCGTTTCTGTAGTCTTCTGTCTCAAAATATCCCGATCTTGAATTGTCTAAATAAATAACAGATTTTTTTTATTTACTTAAATTGTTTCTATTTTTGTTGTGTTTTTAAATCTTTTTGTGTTTTTTTAGCACTTTTTTGTAATTTAATTGTCGCTTTGTGAAGTCGCTTTTTCTTTTTTTTTTATTATCCTTTTGTTACAATGTTTTGCAGTGTTTTTCTTAGCACTTTTTTTATTTTTTCTACTTTTCAATTTTGTGATTTTTGTTTTAGATTTTTCAATTTTTCGTTTTCTTGGTGTGTCGATTTCTTGTTCTTTCAGGTTTTTAATACTTTAATTTTTTAAGTTTTAATGTTTCAGATTTTTCCATTTCTCGATTTTTCAGTTCTTCGATACGTATTGAAAAATCACAAAACATAAATTAAAATGAAAACTGGATAAATTTCAAATCAAAAGTTATAGAAACGAAAAATTGAACAATTTAAAATTGAAAAAAAACTTAACAAATGGTACAGTTGAAAAACCAAAAAATTGGAAACAGAAAAATTGCTAAACGGAAAATTGAAAAATAGAAAAATCGAAGTTCTGAACAACTGAAAAATCGAAAAGTCGAGAAATCAAAAAGTCTGAAATCTTATAAATTGAAAAATTCTAAGATCTAAAATTTAAGAATCGAAAAATTGAAAAATCAAAGTCAGAAAATTGAAAAATTGAAAAATCGAGAAATCGAGAAATCGAAAAGTCGGAAAATTCAGAAGATTAAAAAATCAAATCATTGAAGAATCGGAAAATTAAAAAAACTAGTACCAAATCGAAACATTCAAAAATCGTAAAAACTGAAAAACGCAAAATTTAAAAATCCAAATATTGAAAAATCGAGAGAGTGAAAAATTGAGAGATCGAAAAGTCGAAAAAATGAAAAATCTAAAATTTAAAAATCGAAAAATCAAAAATTTGGAAAATTGAAAAATCCAAAAATCTAGAAACGCGAAATTGAAAATTCCAGAAATCCAAAAACAAGAAATCGAAAAATTGAGTAATCGAAACATCAAAAACTGAAAATCTAAAATTTAAAAATTCGAAAAATTGAAGAACGAAAAACTGAAAAATCGAGAAATCGAAGACTAAATTTTATTTCGGTTTTATAACTTTTTGCTTATTCAATTTTTCAAACTCTCAAGTTTTCCTTTTGTACTTTTCCGTTTCTCATTTTTGATTTTTCAGTTTTACACTTTTTCAATTTTCCCCTTTGTTTCATTCGTAAAATTGAAAAATACAAAAAATAAAAAGAAAAATTGAAAATGTGAAAAAGAAATTAAATTTCAATAACTGGAAGTCGAGATATTTCGAAGTTTTTTTCCAACAACTGCCAGTTCGACTTATTCAAGTTTGACTGTATTTCGAATTTTTAAATTTTAGATTTTTCACTTTTTTAATGTTTGGCTTTCTCAATCTTTCGTTTTTTGTATTTCTCGCCTCTTTTATTTCTTTTCCTTTTGTTTATTTGTCGTCGTTTTTTCGACGCATTTTTTTTTGGCTCTGTATTTTAACTTTTTACCAGCTAATGTTTTTGCTCCTTTTTTCGTTTCTTCTTATAGCCTATTTTTTTGTGTTCTTATTTATGTCGCCTTTTCTCTCGTTTTTTTTTGTCGCCTGTTTTATCACCCTTGTTGCCGTGGGTTTTTGGGCCTCTTTTTGGCATTTTTGGTGCAGCTTTAGATAGTTCGTCTTTTTCCGCTTTTATTTGTAGTCTTTTTTCGCTTTCATTGTCTTACTGGCCACTTCTTATGGCCTTTTTATGTTGTCTTGTTACTTGTTTCTTGTCGGCTTCTTTTGGTGCTTTTGTTTGTCGCTCCTTGCCCTCTTCTTTGAAATTTCATCGCCTTTTTGTATTTTTTTATACGTATTTTTCGGGGCGTTCTTTGTGACCTTTTTCGCTGACTTGATTTATACAGTTGTTGTTTTTTTTCATTTCTTTTTGTCACTTTTTATTAATATTATTTTTATCTTTTCCTGTCTCGTATTTATGCCCTTTTTGACATTTTTTTTATTGCGGTTTTAATTCTATTTTTGCCTTTTTTGTGGCTCTTTCTTGTTGCCTTCTTTGTTGTTTTTCCTGTAATTTTTTTCATTTTTCTTATTCTTACCAAAAAAATAACTACTTTTTTTATCATCATTGTTATATGATTTTTTGATTGTTTTTTTTTGCTGAAATTTTTTTACAGCTTCTTTATCGTTTTTTTTTTTTTGTATATTCTACATTTGTTTTTTTTTGTTGTTTTTTTGTCACTTTTTAGGCGTTGTATTTTGTTTAATGTTTTCGCTCTTATTTCGCACTTTCTTTGGCATATTTTTCACCTTTTCGTTTCTCGTCTTTTCCAAGTTTTTTTATCCATTGATAATTTTCTGAACACTTGTTTTAATTTATTTTGGACTTCTTTGTAGCCTTTTTCGCTTCCACTGCCTTTTGTCTCCTTTTTTATCGCCGCTTTTATACCCTCTTTGTATTTTTTGTTGTGTTTTTAAGTCCTTTTGTGTTTTTTTTTTGTTTGGCACTTTTTTTGTAATTTTATTGTCACTTTTTGAAATCGCTTTTTCTCTTTTTTTATTATCCTTTTGTTACAATGTTTTTTGTGGTTTTTATCACTTTTTTGATAGTTTTTTTACCTTTTTTCTTCCTCCTTTAACATTTCTGTCGAACTTTTTAGTCCGTTGTTTTAGCTTTTTTCTGATTCTACTTGTAGCTCTTTTTCGCTTTCATTACTATTTTGTCCTCTCTTTATCGCTATTTTATATCGTCTTTTTGTTCTTTTTGTCCCCTTTTACAGAATTTTATTTGTAGCCCTTTTTATTACCTTTTTGTATTCTTTTACGACAATGTTTTTTGTGGCTTCTATGTAATCTTTTTTTATCGACTGTTTTTATGGAGTGTTTTGTAGTTTTTTTCGTTTCTTGTCTTTTTTTAATGAGATTATTTTCGCCTTTTCTTTGTCTCGTTTTTTGCTTTTTTTTGTCGTCATTTTTTATTTCCTTTTTTGTCCCCCTTTTGTATTATCTTTTTTGTAGTTTTTCCTGTGCGTTTTTTCATCATCTTTATTAATTGTTTTTGTTACGGAAATTTTCGACGCTTTGGTTTTTCGTCGTTTTTTATTGCTTCCTTTTTCGCATTGTTTTCTTCGCTATTTTGGTTGATTTTTTATCGTTTTTATTGGTGGCTTTGTGTCCCTTTTTTTGTTTTTTTAAGCACTTTTTTGTTCGCTTTTTTGGATTATTTTACCATATTCTGTCCCTTTTTCCGTATTTCAACGTGTTTTGACGCATTTGTTATCACACTTTTTTGTAGTGTTTTTTTCAATGTTTTTGCGTTTATTTTGGTTAAAGTTTCGCTTTTTTATCTTTTTTGCCGGCTTTTTTATTTGTGTCGGCCTTTTTTTTTCTGTGATTTCTCTTTTTTTGCTTTCTTTTTTAATCGTCTTTCATAGCCTTTTTTATCTCCTTTTTTCAGGGGGATGACCTTTTTTAATCGCCTCTTTTCGGCTTTTTCGGTTTTTGTTTTTCTTTTGTTTATCGTTCTACCTTTTTTTAATAGTCTTCTTTGTCGACTTTTTTTGGACTTTTTTGTCACTTTTTCCGGCTTTTTTTTTGTAGGTACTTTTCTTTTTTTTTGTAGTTTTTTTTTGACACCTTGTTTCTTCTTTTCTTTGTAATCTTCTATTTTGGTTACTTTTTCATCGTCTTTTTTTGGTTAAATTATCTTTTCCCCTTTTTTGTCGCCTTCTTTTCACCATATTTTTTATTTCTTTTTTATAGCTTTTTTTATGTAGGGATTTTTTGGGCACTTTTTTGTTATTGTCCTTTTTTTGGTCGCTTTCTCTATCGCATTTTGTAGATTTTTTTTGGTGACTTTTTAATTTTTATTTTTTTGTGTTTTTAGTCGCCTTCTTTTTGTTTGTAGCTTTTTATCTAATTTTTGTCACCTCTCTTCTGTCCCATTTTTTTTGTCACTTTATGCGTTTTGTGTGTAAGTTTTATCATTTTTTTGTTCTCTTTACCCTTTGTTTACTTTTTTGGCGTTTTGTCGCGTTTTTTGTCCTCTTTTTTACCGGTTCCCTCCTTTTTTTTGTTTTTCATGTTTTGCCTTTTTTTTCACTTTTTTAATCCCCTATTTTCGGCTTGTTTTCTTTTTGGTTATCATTCCACCTTTTATATTGCCTTTTTTGTTGCTTTGCTGTAGCTTTTTTCTATTTTTCCTGTTTTTAGTAAAAAGTTAACTCGTTTTTTCATCAACTTTTTTGTTTTTGTTATGGAAATTTTCAACTCTTTGTTTTTCGTCTGTGAATTTTTGTTGTTTTTTTGTGCCTTTTCTTCCTTTTTCGCATTCTTTTCTTCGCTATGTTGATTTTTTTATAGTTTTTATTGATGGCTTTGTGTCCCTTTTTTGTCAGTTTTTTTGCATTTTTTTGTCCATTGTTTTATCTTTCTTTGCTCTTTCTCGTCGCTTTTTTATGTTTTTTCTCGTTTATGGCATTTTTTAAACACTTGGATTTTTGGATTTTTCTTATATCCCTTTTCTCTCCTTCATTGGCCTTTTGTCTCCTTTGTGTAATGCCTCTTTTTTGTTTTATTAAGCATTTTTTGCTGTTCTTGTCACTTTTTTGTTCGTTTTTTTTTTTGGATTATTTTAAAATTTTCTGGCATTTTTTTCGTATTTTAACGTTTTTTAACGCCTTTTAAGTCGCACCTCTCTTTTTTCTTGTCAAATTTTTATGTCGGTCCTTTTTTGTGTGTGGTTTATATATTTTTTTGCTTTCTTTTTTAAACATCTTTCGTAGCCTTTTTTTCACCAGGATGACCTTCTTTCGGTTTTTGTTTTTTTTTGTTTATCGTTCCATCCTTTTTTAATAGACTTCTTTCTCGACTTTTTTGGACATTTTTGACACTTTTTTCTGGCTTCTTTTTGTCTTTTTTGGAAGAGATTTTTTTTGGGCACCTTGTTTCTTTCTTTTTTTTTGTAATCTTCTATTTTGGTTACCTTTTTTTTGGTTCAATGATTGTATCCTTTCCCCTTTTTTTGTCGTCTTCTTTTCACCATTTTTTATTTCTTTTTTATAGCCTTTTTTAAATCGGGATTTATTTTGGGCCGTTTTTTTTCTCCATTTTTTGTTATTATCCTTTGTTTTGGTCGCTCTTTCTATCGCATTTTGTAACCTAAAAACTTTTCTTATTATGAATTGTTTTTATAGTTTTGAGGATTATCTTCGGTGTAAAAATTTTAATAGTTTATTGATTTAATTTAATGTGTTTGACTTGTGTAAAACTCTATTTGTAGTTTTGAACACCAATAAAGTATTGATTGATTGAACCTTTTTTCGGTGACTTTTTTGTTTTTCTTTTTCTTTGTGTGTTTTTTTGCTCCTTATGCCTTTTGTGTGTAATTTTTATTGTTTTTTTACATTTTTATATTAGTTTGTTTACTTTTTTGGCTTTTTGTCGCCTTTTTTGTCCTCTTTTTTACCAGTTCTTTCCTTTTTTTTTGTTTCGTTTTTTTGCTTTTGCGTAGTTTTTTTTTCTTTCATTTCATTTTTTTTTCGTTTTTCTTATATCTTTTTTTGGTCACTTTTTTCACTTAATTTAGGACATTTTTCTAAGTTTATAATTTTGATTCGTGACTTGGGTAAAACATATTTTATGTACTAGATGTATACCAATAAAGTTTCAATTCAATTTCAATTCAATTCAATTTTTTTTTGTCCCCATTTTTTGTGTGCCTTTATCACCCTTTTAGCGTTTTTTTGGCGGCCTTTTATTCGGCGAGTTTTTTTTCCCTTTTTGTGTATTCTTTTTTGGTTTTGTTTAATTATGCATTTTTTGTGGACTTTCTGCGCTTTTTATCCCACTTTTTGCCCTTTTTGTCACTTTTTTAATCGCCTCTTTTCGTTTTTTTTTTGGTTATCATTCCACCTTTTATATTGCCTTTTTTGTTGTTTTTCCTGTAGCTTTTTTCTATTTTCTCTATTTTCAGTAAAAAGTTAACTCGTTTTTTTTATCAACTTTATTGTTTTTGTTATGGAAATTTGACGCTTTGTTTTTCATTGTTTTCTTGTCATTTTTTGTGGCTTTTGTCCCTTTTTCGCATTATTTTCTTCACTATTTTGGTTGATTTTTTTATCGTTTTTATTGATGGCCTTTGTCTCTTTTTTGTCATTTTTTGTCACTTTTTTGTCCGTTGTTTTATCTTTTTTGCATTTTTTCGTCGCCTTTTTAAGTTTTTTCCCGTTTTTGGCATTTTTTTAAATATTTGTTTTATATTTTTTCGATTTTTCTTATAGCTCTTTTTTCCATTTCATTGCCCTTTTGTCTCCTTTTCTAATGCTTCCTTTTTTGTTCGCTTTTTTTGGATTATTTTACCATTTTTTGTCTGTTTTTTTTTTGTTGTTTTTTTTTAATCAAATCATTGTCACTGTTTATTTTTTGTCCTTTTTCGCCCCTTTTTTATTGATTTTATTGTTGATTTTTTCGCTTTTCTTGTCCTTAATATTCTATTGTTTTTTTTTTTAGAAATTTTTGTCAACTGTTTTGTCGGCTTGTTTTGTTCTGTAGTTTTTTCGTTTTTTGTTAGTTTTTTGTTTTTTTTTTCTGTTTTTGTCACTTTTTGGTGGATTTTTTGTCGCTTCTATTATTATCTTTTTTTGTCCCTTTTTTTGTTGCCATTTTTTAATTATTTTTCTTTCAGCTTTTTTTCGTTTTTGTTATCATTACAAAAAACTTGATAACATTATCGCAAAATTTTGTTATAAAAAACTCATTTGAAACACATACAAGAAAAAAACGCAAAATCAAATTTTATATAATTTACCTAAGAAACTTGATTTGTTTGATCGTACTTCAGAAGCAAGGGAAGTTCCGTCTAAATAAATTTGTAATCAATTTTATTTTCAAAAATTAATTTTTTTTCCAATTTAAACATCAAAAGATTCACTTTAGTAAACTTCAAATTCTCATTTTTAGCTGTTATTCAGGTAAAGAGTTTCCGGGTGATGGCGCAACCGTTATCTTATTAATATAGAATCAAAAACATTTATTTATTCTAATGTGGCCACTATATGTGCCTGTTTAAGAATTTTTACACGTTTCTAGAATATATTTTAAAAATCAAGACTTAAGAGATTTTTAAGGTATATTTTGAAAAATTAAAACTGTACGAATTTTTGACCTGTTTACTACGAATTCCATTTGCGGTCGCTAAAAATCAAAGTTTAGTTAAATTAATATTCGTAAAAAAAAACGAACTCTCTCCGTCCATCTACGTCATTTACGTCTGTGGTTCGAGAACTCTCCCCACTTCCACCAAAATCCATAATCTACACTAACGAATCATTCCGTATTTGCGTTTTACCAAATAAAACCAGTCAGTTGTGGCGAATAACCACCAAATTCCCCTTTGTGTGCGTTCCTCAAAAAAATCCACCATCATTTCTCTCAAATTTCCAGAAAAAAAAATCTCCCCCACCCAACCGCTCCATCGCAGTGACGTATCTGTCAAATGTCAAATCTAGTGATTTCCCTGGTAATCACGAAACGTCAAAATTTATGTTTGAAATGACATTTTCCTCCTTATCGCAAATACTGAGCGCTTTAACAATAGCAGTTGTTTAATTATGCTAATTTAGTGTCGGCCAGCCAGTGATAACAACCGCCACCAACAACATGGGTCTATTCGGCACCTCCAACGACGTAGTAATCGCAGACGAAGTAGGTGAGTCACTCGCTCTCGATTGCACCAAATCGCAATCTAATCGAACCACAAACTCATTCCGAGTCACCTGAGCTCCCCGAGTGAGTCACGTTTTGTTTGTCGCGCAGAAAGAGCAACAAACGAGAACAATGTCGACGACGCTTGGGACCAGATCATCGCAGTGTGCGATAAGGCTGGCAAGGCGGCGGAGGAGGCGAAGAGCTACCTCAGGGCCATCGTGAAGAGGCTGTACAACGCGGACCCCCACATCGCCATTCAGGCCGTCACGGTAATGAGGGAGGGCTGAGGTCAGTCGGGTTTTAATAGTGTCGATCAGTTGCTAGATGCGTGCGTGAAGAACAGCGGGAGGTTGTTCCACGTGGAAGTCGCGTCGAGGGAGTTCGAGAACGACTTTCTGAAGCTACAGTCCAAGGCACACGCCACCGTCTCGAAGAAACTCAGAGAGGCTCTGAAGAGGTGGGCCGAGAATGAGTTCAAGAGTGACCAGCAGCTTAATCTCATACCGTCGTTGTATACTAAATTGAAGAATAGCGGGGTGGATTTCTCGTCGGAAATGGTGAGTTGATAGGGTGAGTGGAATCTGGTTTGAAAGTTGAAAGTTTTGTAGTGGTGTGTTCTGGGAAATAATTTATGCAATTAGAACAATGTTGATTATGTGATTAATTATAAAAGTCATTTTTAAATAGTTTGTGTCAAAACGCTAAAAAACATGTCAATCTGTCAGTTGCGCGTTGACCAATGGTGTATCAGTTGCGTTATGAATCTGAAATGAGGACGTTTTAAAAAAGTTTTAAAATTCTTATTTGAATAAAGTACGGAAACACTCATAAACTACGTAAAAACAAAGTGAAACGCTGTTACATTAAACCACAAAGTAATTACAAAACAAAGTGGCGAATGCGGAATTCCGATAACGGTAGGAACGTCACTAGTTTCCTACCCCTGAAGTGGACCCGTCCAGACGTTTTTACGTCAACTACGACGTTTTATTTATTGTCGGATCTACTTATGGTGGTATCACTCAGAATTGTCACACAACAGTCAGGCATAAATCACTCTATACGTAGTCGAAATACTCGAGAAATCGAAAAATCCAAAAGTCGAAATACTAAAAAATCCCAAAATTGAAAAATTGAAGAATCGAAAAACTGAGAAAACTCACAAAATTGAAAGAAATATCCAAAAATTGGTAAATTAAAAAACTGAAAAATTGGGAAATCGAAAAGCCGAAAAATTGCAACCCTAAAGAATCGAAAAATTGAAAAATCGAACCCTTGGGCAAATCGAAAAAATAGATTAATTGAGAAATCAGAAAACTGAAAATTTAGCAACGTCAAAATTTGAAAAATTGGAAAATAAAAATATTGAAGAAATGGAAAATCAAAAATAAAAATCGGGAACATGAAAATTGCCGGAAACGAAAAATTGAGAAACTGAAAAACGAAAAAGTGTAAGCATAATAAAAACTTGAAAAATGTAAAAAGTGAAAATCAAACTTGAAAATTTGAAGAAAAATTGAAAAAAAACTGAAAATTTGAAAAATTGAATAAAGGAAAAATTGTAAAATCGAAAGAAACAACAAAAAATAAAGGGAATGAAAAAACGAAAAATTGTGACATAAAATCGAAAAATGAAAAACTGTAATATTGAAAAATTGCCAAATTGAAGACTGATGCAAACCGAAAAATTGAAGGAACGAAAAATGGAAAATTTTGGAAGTCGAGAAATTGTAAACTTGAAAAATCCAAAGTAAAAAACGAAAAATTACAAAATGAAAACTTGAAAAATCTCAAGAATCGAAAAAGTGAAAAATAAAAAAAAGGAGTATGTATTATGAAATAGAAATATTGAAAATTAAAGAAATTGGAAAATCGGAAGACTGGAAATCAAAAAATTGCAAACTGAAAAAAAAACAGAAAATAAAGGAAATGAAAAAATGGATAATTGTGATATAAATCGAGAAAATAAAATATAAAAATTCGCCACATTGAAAAATAAAATCGGGAACATGAAAAATTGTGGAAACGAAAAATTGAGAAACTGAAAATTCGAAAAATTGAAGAAACGAAAAATTGAAAAATCGAATGAAACAACAAGAAATAAAGGAATTGAAAAAATGAAAATTTGTGACATAAAACCGAAAAAATAAAAATTTAAAAAATCGGAAAAATGAAAAATAAAAATTGAGGAAACGAAAAACTGAGAAAACTCACATAATTGAACGAAATATCCAAAAATTGTGAAATTAAAAAACTGAAAAATTGGGAAATGGAAAAGCCGAAAAATTGAAAAATCGAAACCTTGGCAAGTCGAAAATGGGCAAATCAAAAAAATAGATTAATTGAGAAATCGGAAAACTGAAAATTTAGCAACGTCAAAATTTGAAAAATTGAAAAATAAAAATATTGAAGAAATGGAAAATCAAAAAATCCAGAAATCGAAAAACTAAAATTTAAAACATTGAACAATTGAAATATCGCAAAATTGAAAAATGGAGAAATCGAAACTCCAGAATTTAAAAAAATTGAAAAATCGGATGACTGAAAAATTGAAACATCGAAAAATTGGAAAACCGAAAAACCGAGAAATCCAAAAATCGAAACATCGAGAAATAAAAAAACGAGAATTTTTAAAAAAGAAATATTAAAACATCGAAAAGTTGAAAAAAAATTGAGAAATCGAAGAATAAAACTGTCGAAAATTTGAAAAATCTAAAGTTTAACGAAAAATTGAAAATCCAAAAAGTAAAAAAGGGGTGGAAACCCAAAAACTGCAAACTGAAAAATTTAAAAATTGGAAAATCGACGAATTGGAATCGATTGGCCTGAAAATTTGAATAATTGAGTAAATGAAAAATTGGAAAATCGAAAGAAACAACAAAAAATAAAGCAAATGAAAAAACGAAAAATTGTGATATAAAATCGAAAAAGTGAAAATTAAAAAATCGGGAAAATGAAAAATAAAAAGCGGAAACAAAAAATTGGAAAAGGGAAAAATTAAAAATTGAGAAACTGAAGAATCGAAAAATGAAAAACTAATATTGAAAAATTGCCAAATTGAACTGATGCAAACCGAAAAATTGAAAATTTTGGAAGTCGAGAAATTGTAAAGTTGAAAAATCAGAAATAAAAAACGAAAAATTACAAAATGAAAACTTGAAAAATCTCAAGAATCGAAAAAGTGAAAAATAAAAAAAAAAGGAGTTTGTATTATGAAATAGAAATATTAAAAATTAAAGAAATTGGAAAGTCGGAAGACTGCAAATCCAAAAACTGCAAAGTGAAAAATTTAAAAATTGAAAAATGGACGAACTGCAAATTCAAAGCCTGAAAATTTGAAAAATTGAACAAACGAAAAATTGTAAAATCGAAAAAAAAACACAGAAAATAAAGGAAATGAAAAAACGGACAATTGTGATATAAATCGAGAAAATAAAAATTAAAATTCACCACATTGAAAAATAAAATCGGCAACATAAAAAATTGTGGAAACAAAAAATTGAAAAATCGAAAGAAACAACAAAAAATAAAGGAATTGAAAAAATGAAAATTTGTGACATAAAACCGAGAAAATGAAAATTAAAAAAATCGGGAAAATGAAAAATAAAAATCGAGAACTTGAAAAATTGAGGAAACGAAAAACGGAGAAAACTCACAAAATTTAACGAATATCCAAAAATTGGGAAATTAAAAATTGAAAAATCTGGAGCCCGAAAAATCGAAAAATTGAGGAACTGAAAAACTGAAAAATCGAAACCTTGGCAAGTCGAAAATGGGCAAATCAAAAAATGGATTAATTGAGAAATCGGAAAACTGAAAATTCAGAAGCGCCAAAACTAGAAAATTTAAAAAATTGGAAAATTGAAAAATCGGATAATTCAAAAATCGAAAAGCCGAAAAGTAAAAAAACGAAACACCGATAAATCGAAAAATCGAACTATTCAAAAACTGAGACAATCAAAACATCGAAACATCCAAATCTCGATAAATCGAGTTCTCAAAATAAAAAATTCGGAAAAAAGAAAATTAAAAGTAATTCGAAAAATTCAGAAATCGAAATATATGTAAAACAGTCGAAAATTGAAAAATCTAAAGTTTATCCCAAAACTGAAACAAATATCCAAAATTGAGAATTTAAAAAATTAGCCAACCGAAAAATCCAAAAATCGAAATTGAAGAACTGAAAAATCGAAACTGCGAATTCGAGAAACGGGACAATAAAAAAAAATATATTAATTGAAAAATCGGAACACTGAAAATTTGGCAACGTCAAAATTTGAAAAATTGGAAAATAGAAATATTGAAGAAATGGAAAATCAAAAAATCGAGAAATCGAAAAATCTAAAATTTAAAACATTGTACAATTGAAATATCGCAAAATTGAAAAATGGAGAAATCCAAACATCAAAGAATCAAAAAAGAAAAATTCGAAAATCTAAAACTTAAAAATCGAAAAACTGAAAAATCGACAAATCGAAACTCCAGAAAAAAAATTGAAAAATCGGATAACTGAAAAATCGAAACATCGAAAAATTGTAAAATCGAAAAACCGAGAAATCCAAAAATCGACACATCGAGAAATGAAAAAAAATGAGAAATTTTAAAAAAGAAATATTAAAACATCGAAAAGTTGAAAAAAAATTGAGAAATCGAAGTTTAAAACTGTCGACCATTTGAAAAATCTAAAGTTTAACAAAAAATTGAAAATCCAAAAATAAAAAGGGTGGAAACCCAAAAACTCCAAACTGAAAAATTTAAAAATTGGAAAATCGATGAATTGGAATCGATTGGCCTGAAAATTTGAAAAATTGAGTAAACGAAAAATTGGAAAATCGAAAGAAACAACAAAAATTAAGGAAATGAAAAAACAAAAAATTGTGATATAAAATGAGAAAATGAAAAATAAAAAATCAGGAAAATGCAAAATAAAAATCGGGGAGTTGAAAAATTTAGGGGACGAAAAATTGAAAAAGAAAAAAATTAAAAATCGAGAATGTGAAAAATGGAAAAATGAGAAATTGTAATATTGAAAAATTGGAAAATTTGGAAGTCGACAAACTGTCAAATTGAAAAATCAAAAATAAAAAAACGGAAAAGTGTAAGCATAATAAAAACTTGAAAAATGTGAAAAGTGACAATCTAACTTGAAAATTTGAAGAAAAATTGAAAAAAAAATGAAAATTTGAAGAATTGAATAAACGAAAAATTGTAAAATCGAAAGAAATAACAACAAATAAAGGGAATGAGAAAACGAAAAATTGTGACATAAAATCGAAACAGTGAAAATTAAAAAATCGGGAAAATGAAAAATAAAAATCGGACACAAAAAATTGGAAAAGGGAAAAATTAAAAATTGAGAAACTGAAAAATCGAAAAATGAAAAACTGTAATAGTGAAAAATTGCCAAATTGAAAAACTGATGCAAACCGAAAAATTGAAGGAACGAAAAATTGAAAATTTTGGAAGTCGAGAAATTGTAAAATTGAAAAATCAAAAATAAAAAACGACAAATTACAAAATGAAAACTTCAAACATCTAAAGAATGGAGAAAGTGAAAAATAAAAAAAGCAATATGTATTATGAAATAGAAATATTAAAAATTGAAGAAATTGGAAAATCGGAAGACTGGAAATCCAAAAAATACAAAGTTAAAAACTGAGATTGTGAAAAAACGAAAAATGGGACTGTAATATCGAAAAATTGCAAAATTAAAAAAATGCAACTCGAAAAATTGAAAAATGTAGAAGTCAAGAGATTGTAAAATTGAAAAATCAAAAATAAAAAAACGAAAAAGTATTTAACGAATTTTTTTCCTCATTTTTTTTGTGGCTTATTTTTATCACTGTGTGCCGATTTTTGTAAAGACAAATAAAATTCGAAACTACTGGGCTGATTATGGCTTTTTATTTCATTTTCGCCTTTTTTTCATCATCCTGGTTTTGTGTCATTTTTGTTTTGAGATTTTTTTGGCACGTGTGTCTTTCATTTTGGTTACTTTTTGATCGTTTTTTTTTTGGTTAAATTTTTTGTCGCCTTCTTTTCACCATTTCTTACTTTTTAATGGCTTTTTTTTTGCAATTTTTGTCGCATTTTTTTGTCCCTTTTTACCCTTTGTTTACTTTTTTTGGCGCTTTGTCACGTTTTGTTATCCTCTTTTTTACCATTTGTTTCATCATGTTTTTAAACCCTTTTTTATGGCGACTTTTTTTCTCTTTTTCTGTGCCCCTTTTTTGGTCGTCTTTACTATCGTTTTATCAATTTTTATTCTTTTTTTGTCTTTGGCGCCTTCTTTTCGTTTGTCAACTTTTCTTGTCATTTATGTCGCCGTTTGTGTAATTATCCCTTTTTTGTGGACTTTTGGCGTTTTTTATCCCATTTTCGACTTTTTTGTTTTTTGTTTTTTTTTTTTTTTGTTATCGTTCCTCTTCTTCGTCGACTTTTTTTGGACATCTTGTGTCTCCTTTTTTTCCGACTTCTTTTTTGTCGCATTCTTTTCATCTTTTTTTTTTAGATTTTTTCGGACGACTTTTTTTTCTGTGTAATCTTCTGTTTTGTTATTTTATCGTCTTTTTTTTGGTTAAATTATTTTATCTTTCCCCTTTTTTTCGCCTTCTTTTCACCATTTTCTTATTACTTTTTTATGTTTTTAATGTCGGAATTTATTTGGTTGCTTTTTCTATCGCATTTTGCAGCTTTTGTAGATTTTTTTTTTGTTTTTCTTTTTTTTGTGTGTGTTTTTAGTCGCCTTCTTTTTGTTTGTCGCTTTTTATCTCACTTTTGTCACGTTTCTTGTGTCCCATTTTTTTATCTTCTGTTTTTTTATCGCCTTATGGCTTTTTTGTGGAATTTTTGTCGTGTTTTTTTGCTTCCTTTTTACCGCTTCCTTTTTTTTTGTTTTTTTTTTGGGCGTTTTGTCTCGTTTTAGAGTTGCTCCTTTTTTCGGCTTTTGTGTCTCTTGTTTTTGTCTTTTTTGGTCTCTTTTTTATTTCTCTTTTATTTCTTTCATTTAATTCTTTTTTTCAATGAATCAAATCAATGAATACTTTATTGGTGTTAAAAACTTACAAATACAGTTTTACACAAGTCAAATACTCTAAATTAAATATCAATAAACTATTAAAATTTCTACACCGAAGATAATCCTTAGTATAAAACTATACAAACAATTCATAATTTCAGTTTTATTTTTCGTTTTATTTTCGTCATTTTTCCTTTTTTTGTCCCCGTTTTTTGTGTCTGTGTTTGGATCGCCTTTTTATCATTTTATTTTTAACATTTTTGTGACGGCCTTTTTTCAGCGAATTTTTGTCCCTTTTTCTGTGCCCTTTGGCTTTTTTTTTGTTATCGTTCACCTTGTTTTTAATAGTCTTCTTTGTTGGCTTTTTTTTGGACAATTTTTGTCTCCTTTTTTCCGGTTTCTCTTTTGTCTCGTTCTTTTTATCTTTTTATTGACTTTTTTGTTAACTTTTATTATATCTTCTATTTTGGTTTTTTTATCGTCTTTTTTTTTTTTGTTAATTATTTTACCTTTCCTCCTTTGCTTGTCGCTCTCATTTCATCATTGTTTATTGCTTTTTATGCCTTTTTTATATCGGAATTTTTTTCTCATTTTATTACCCTTTTTTGGTCGCTTTTTCTATCGCATTTTGAGCCTTTTTGGTGTCTTTTTTGTTATTCGATTTTATTTATACACGACTAATTACAGCGATTATGTACAAAATAATTCCGGCGCAACTTGACTGAATTCGTTCACAGGACTCGGCTGAATAATCATAGTTCCCAAAACTAGTCTCAATTTAAACCCATACTTTCCTTCTAGATATTTCGTGATCGAGGTCTTTCTAGAATACCCATCGCGACTTCCGCTTCCAGGCTTTTCTTTAGCAAACGACGATGAGTCACCCATCATCGCCGTACATACTAGAAACCATAGGCGTCGCACCGGGGCGGCGTATGGGTTTCTTTCGTAACAATACGTTATAATTGATATTAATTTTGATTGATACTAGAAATACATTTCAATTTGTCATGTAGTTTTCCTTGCAGCCCGCGAAAAAGTCCTCGCACGTCAACAAGGACCCCAACGTCGTCGAATCCCAAGAGGAAGAGAACCAGATCCTCAAAGCCATAGAACTGTCGCTGAAGGAGAGCACGTCCTCGCCTCGGGCGGCCAGCGCGAGCAGCACCCTGTACCCCTCGACGAATCTATCGCTGGCCGCCGCCACTTCCGCGAACTCGACGCCCGTCAAAGAGCCCAAGAAAGTGCGAGCTCTGTACGATTTCGAGGCGGCCGAAGACAACGAGCTCACGTTCAGATCGGGAGAGATAAGTAAGTCACGGAGCGACGTAACGACGCCGATAATGAGTTTTCGCAGTTTTTGTGATAGACGATTCGGACCCGAATTGGTGGAAGGGCAGCAACCAGAGGGGCGAGGGGCTGTTCCCGTCGAATTTCGTCACGAAAGACTTGGACGTGGAGCCGGAGAAATTTTGTAAGTAATGTGTAATACGTAATGGTAGCAGTGAACGTAAAGAACTATATGTTTAATAACGAGTGTGGATTTGCCCGAGGGAAGGCACGGAACGTAATTACCGCTAATTTGAGTAAATACGCAAAGTTTGTGAGGCCACTGGGAATTAAGTATTCAGCACAAACAGTTAATTCCACCAGGCTGGTTTAAATTAATTCGTTGCATGATTCACTCCAATAATTTTTTTATATCGAAACGAGTGATATCTTTTTTGCGAGTACAATAACACTCACTTATCTGGATGATTCAGAGATTTTTCGATTGTCATTGTGCCTATTTATAACAAAACATTCTTGTTTATTCAAGGAAATAGTAACGACTTAATAATTCATTATGAGTCTACTTTGTGTGTTGCAAATAATCGTTTTAATTTCTAATTACAATATATTTTTACATCCCCAATGTAAGCTGTACATGTGGTTTATGAATCCGTGTTCTGTTTTTACCCTAGACATCCAGACTTTTGGGGAAAAAATCAACATCATAAAACAACATTTTGCAATTTAATTTGAAAACCAAATCCTCTGAAATCTTACCAACTATTTAATGTCATCGTAAATCGTTAATGAAAATTATTTTATTATTTTTATTATTGATAACGTCATCTGAAAATTTTGCCTAAGAAATCCTCTGAATAATGCAAAATATTATGACTATATTTTAAGTTACAGGGGTTATTTATCGTAAAAAATTAAAATTCGCGAAATCAAATAATAATTTTTTCTTCAATTTTTCGATTTCTTAATTTTTCAAGTTCTTGATTTTTATTTTTTCAATGGTTCTTCCGATTTTATAATTTTTCGTGTATTCCATTTTACAAATTTTGCAATTTTTGAATTTCACGATTTTCCGATTTCCTTCATTTTCAACATTTCGTTTTCACAATTTTGCGATTTTTCGAAGTTACAGTTTTTCGTTTCCTCATTTTTTTAAAGTTCTTGATTGATATTTTTCAATATCCCGACTTTTAATTTTCATTTTATATCACAATTTGTAGTCATTTTATATCACAATTTGTAGTCGTTCCTTACATTTATTTTTCAATGTTTTTTCGATTTTATAATTTTTAGTGTATTAAATTTTCAAATTTTGCAATTTTTGAATTTCACAATTATCCGATTTTCCGATTTCCTCAATTTTTAACATTACGTTTTTACATTGTTTCGTTTTTTTTGCACTTTTCGATTGTTTAGTTTGCCAGCTTTCTATATTTTATTTCTTCAATTTTTCGTTTCTTAGTTTTTCAAGTTCTTATTTTATAATTTTTCAATTTCTCAATTTTTAATTGTTCAATTTTTTGGTCATAATTTTTCGTTCTTTCGTTTTGTGTATTTTTTCATTTAATTTTTTCAATTTTTCGTTTTTCGATTTTTCAGTTTCCCTATTTTTAATTTCCTTTTTCGTCTTTTTTTATTCCCTTTATTTTTTCAATGGTTCTCTCGCTTTTATAATTTTTCATGTATTCATGTTTTCAAATTTTGCAATTTTTGGATTTCATAATTTTCCGATTTCCTTAATTCAACAATTCCTTTTTACAATATTCCGGTCTTTTTTATATTGCACTCTTCGATTATTTAGTTTCTCAGCTTTCAATGTTTCATGTTTTCAATTTTTCGTTTCTTCACTTACATAATTTTTTCAATTTTTCGAATTTTCAGTGTTTAGGTTTTATGATTTTTCTTTTTTTCAAGTTTAATTTTTTCAGTTTTTTATTATCACGACTTCAATTCTTCGATTATTCGTGTCTTCAATTTTCAATTTTGCAATTTTTCGATGTTGCAGTTTTTCGTTTCCTGAATTTTTCAAATTCTTGATTTTTGTTTTTCAATTTCTCGATTTTTAATTTTCATTTTATATCAAAATTTTTGGCTTTTTTATGCCCTTTATGATTGCAATGTTTTTTTCGATTTTATAATTTTCAGTTCATTAAATTTTTTAAATTTTGCAATTTTTGAATTTCACAATTAGCCGATTTTCCGATTTCCTCAATTTTCAACATTTCGTTGTTTTTTTATTATTATTATTATTATGCACTTTTCGATTGTTGTTTAGTTTCTCAGCTTTCAATTTTTTATTTCTTCAATTTTTAGTTTTTTAGTTTTACAAGTTTTTATTTTATAATTTTTCAATTTCTGGATTTTTAATTTTTCAATTTTTCGAATTTTCAGTGTTTAGCTTTTATAATTTTTCTCTTTTTTAAGTTTAATTTTTTCAATTCTTTTATTATCACGACTTTAATTCTTCGATTATTCGTGTCTCTTCAATTTTTCAATTTTGCAATTTTTCGATGTTAGTTTTTCGTTTTCTGAATTTTTCAAGTTCGTGATTTTTATTTTTCAGTTTTCCGATTTTGACTTTTCTTTTATATCACAATTTTTCGTTTTTTGAGTCCCATATTTTTCAATATTTCATTCTATTTTATGATATTTCGTTTATTTAATTTTTCAAATTTTGCAATTTTTAAAATTTTGCAATTTTTCAATTTTCCAAATATCCGGTTTTCCGATTTTCTTAATTTTCAACATTTCGATTATTTCAGTTTTTCAATTTCTCAATTTTTAATTTTTCAATTTTTTTCACTTTTTCGAATTTTCAATCTGCCGCTTTTATAATTTTTTTTTTCAATTTTTCAAATTTTGTGATTTTTGAATTTCCAATTATCCGATTTTAGGATTTTTTCATCATTTAGTTTTCTTAATATTTCGTTTTTTTTTTTATTATTATTATTATTTTACCCTTTTCCATTATTTAGTTTCTCAATTTTTTATTTTTCAATATTTTGACCACAATTTTTCATTTTTTCATTTTCTATATTTTTTCAATTTTTCAAATTTTGTAATTTTAGAATTTCCAATTATCCGATTTTCCGATTTCCTTTATTTTCAACATTTAGTTTTCCTAAAATTTGGGGTTTTTTACTGTTATTTCATTTCATTTGTTCAATTTTTCATTTTTCAATTTTTTGATAGCAATTTTTGGTTTTTTCATAATCTGCCTTTTTTCAATTTTTCGATTTTCTCTTTTTTTCAGCTTTAATTTTTTTCAATTTTTCAATGTTGCATTTTTTCGATATTCCAATTTTTCATTCCCTCACTTTTTCAAGTTCTTGATTTTTAGTTTTCAATTTTCCGATCGTTAATTTTCATTGTATGTCACAATTTTTCGGTTTTTTCAATGTTCCTATCGATTTTATAATTTTTCGTTTATTCAATTTTTCAAAATTTGCTATTTTTGATGTCACAATTATCCGATTTTCCGATTTCCTTGATTTTAAAAATTTCCTTTTTACAGTATTTCGTTTCTTTTTTTTTTTGATTTTGCACTTTTCGATTGTTTGTTTCTCGCCTTTCTATTTTTTCATTTTTCAATATTTTTCATTTCTTCAATTTTTCGTTCCTTCAGCTTTTCAAGTTCTTATTTTATAGTTTTTCCATTTCTCAATTTTTAATTTCCCATTTTTTTTAACACAATTTTTCGTTTTTTATTTTCTGTATTTTTTCAATTTTTAGAAATTCAATTTTTCGGTTTTATAATTTTCCTTTTTTCAATGTTTTGGTATCTCGACTTTAAATTTTTCGATTATTCGTTTCTTCAATTTCTCAATGTTACAATTTTTCGTTTTTCGATTTTTCATTTTCTCAGTTTTTCAATATTTAATTTCCTAAATTTTTCAAGTTCTTGATTTTTATTTTTCAGTTTTCCGATTTTTAATTTTTTATTTTATATCAGAATTTTTCGTTTTTTGATTCCCTTTATTCTTCAGTGTTTCTTTCGATTTTATGATATTTGGTTTATTTAATTTATCAAATTTTGCAATATTTAAATGTCACAATTATCCGATTTTCCAGTTTCCTTAAGTTTCAACATTTCGATTATTTAGTTTCTCCTCTTTCAATTTTTTTCGTTTTTTCGGTTTATTAAATTTTAATGTTATAATTTTCTAGTTCCTCAGTTTTTGATTTTTCAACTTTTTCATAATTTTTCGATTTTCTATTTTCTAGATTTTTTCAATTTCTAGAATTTTCAGTGTTTCGATTTTATAATTGTTCTTTTTTTCAACTTGAATTTTTTAAATTTTTCGATATTATAATTTTTGATACAATTTTTCGTTTCCACAATTTTTCAAGTTCGTGATTTTTATTTTTCAGTTTTCTGATTTTTAATTTTTATTTTATATCACAATTTTTCGTTTTTTGATTCCCTTTATTCTTCAGTGTTTCTTTCGATTTTATGATATTTGGTTTATTTAATTTTTCAAATTTTGCAATATTTAAATGTCACAATTATCCGATTTTCCAGTTTCCTTAATTTTCAACATTTCGATTATTTAGTTTCTCCTCTTTCAATTTTTTTCGTTTTTTCAGTTTATTAAATTTTTATGTTATAATTTTCTAGTTCCTCAGTTTTTGATTTTTCAACTTTTTCATAATTTTTCGTTTTTCTATTTTCTATATTTTTTCAATTTCTAGAATTTTCAGTGTTTCGGTTTTATAATTGTTCTTTTTTTCAACTTGAATTTTTTAAATTTTTCGATATTATAATTTTTGATACAATTTTTCGTTTCCACAATTTTTCAAGTTCGTGATTTTTATTTTTCAGTTTTCTGATTTTTAATTTTTATTTTATATCACAATTTTTCGTTTTTTGATTCCCTTTATTTTTCAGTGTTTCTTTCGATTTTATATTTCGTTTATTTAATTTTTCCAATCTTACAATTTTAGAACTTCACAATTGTCCGATTTTCCGATTTCTTTAATTTTCAACGTTTCGTTTTTACTAAATTTCGGTTTTTTTATTTTATTTTGCGCTTTTCAATTATTTAATTTCTGTGCTTTCAATTTTTCATTTCTTCAATTTTTCGTTTCTTCAGTTTTTCGTTTTTATTTTATAATTTTCTGTATTTATTCAATTTCTCGAATTTTCAAAGTTTCGATTTTATATATTTTTTTTTTCAAATTTAA